AAAGTGAAGCAAAGTTTCTTTTCTGAGGAAACAGTGCACAACAAGGCTAGAACTCTAACTTCCAGATGTAACACCGCCGCCTGGATAGCTCAGTTGGGAGAGTGTTGGTCTGCTGACTGGTAAGTCACGAGGTTCAAACCCCGGCGGGACCAACAGTCAGGGTCTTTAACTGAGAAGAAAGTGCTGTCTTTGTAATGACATCTACAAATGGTTAGACTTCTAAGTCTTCTCCAATAAGGACGAAAAACTGTAGGTCCTATCTCACAGCAATTTCACTTATCTGGTTCTTGTGGGAGGTAAAAGAACCCACGTCACTGTTCGAAAAGAGTAGGGGACAGAGACGCCGGTGGTGTGGCCAACCTTTCCTGGGCTGGGTGGGTTATTGTAAGGAGATATCTTAGTATAGATCGACCTCACGATCCTCCTTCAGGTGCAGTAATGGCTACCTGTAAACAGTGTATATGTGACATTTGAGGTAAACTGAGGTCATGATTAATCTTGAGTTCAATCTCAGAAGCATCTCTCCCAGGGACTAGGAGTATCTAGCCTGCGTAGCAAGCGTTTCCAATCGAGTTATTGCGCGAAAGTTGGAGCGGTGGCAAAAAAAAAACAGTGGAAGGGGGAGGGGGAGGGGAGAAGAGGAAACGCTTGCCCGCAAACCCCACGATTCTGGTGAACGCCCCTTGATTTTTCACGGTTCGGTTCATTTGTAAATTGACAGCTCGTCAAAATAGAAGTATAACGAATAGATTACCCCTGGATCACCAGATTTGTAACATTACTTTGAATTGTTCTCTAATGGAACACGTTCCAGGTGATTGCAAAAACTGTAATAAAAATGTCTACGATAAAAGAAGGTTAAAACTCTAAGCGATTGCTGTGGAATTTCTTGTTGTTAATTGTGTGGTTTTGTCTCGTCTGAAACCTGGTCGAAACGTCAAAAATGATTTGAGCGGTAGCTCTTCAGCCCGTTTTGAAACGTTCTCTACAATACATGCCGATAAATTTCCAATAAATAAAAAGAACCTTTTCATTTTAAAAAGCTGATAAATCGGTTGTCCATGGTGGCTTTAGCCAGTCGATTACCGATGTTCTGATTTACGTTGGTGTTATCTCCAAAAAAACAACAGTCCATTTTTTCCAGTCATGATCAGATCCGCACGCCGTCATTAACAATAAATTGGCCTTCCCTAGTCTCCCCTGCTCTATCTCCAATTATACTTTGAAGACTCTGATCTCATAAACCCTCGCACAAACACGATTCAAATGAATATCAGTCCAAAGCATTTGTAATCTGCCACCACAAATCAGATAAGATGTGACGCTCGTAAACAAAGCATACCTGGTTTGATTGATGTTTCGAGTGCTAAGTAATCAACACTACCAGCACCGCACCAATCAGAAGCTGCGTTCGTGGGCGGTTTTTCAAAATCGTGGGGTTTGCTTGCAAGCGTTTCCTTCTTTCCCCTCCCCCTCCCCTGTCATTCCTTTTTTTTTTGCTCTCGTCCCAACTTTCTCGACTAACTCGCGCGGAAACGCTTGCTACGCAGCCTAAGGAGTATCAGAACCGCGCAGCTTATATTTACAGTCAATTGTTGTGGAAATCAGCTTTTGTTTTACAGATCAGGAAGAGTAATTAGGGGCCACTTGGGAGTAACTTCCATTGGACTACACTTAGAGAGTTGCCTAAGTTTGCTTCCCTTGTCAAGGAGATAAAGTATTTGTTATAACGTAAAAACTCTATTCTGGGCTCACTTTGTGCAAAGTCCACTAGCTGAGTGTGACCTGCTGGAGCAACAATACTTTGCCCATTTGCACAAGTTGATTTTCTACGTTTACTTTGTCTCACTCAGAATACAGGCAAACTTCACACAAAAGTGCAGCTGATTTTAGTAAAAAATAATGACGAACAATTTACAAAAAGACCTGAAAACAGAAACTGTTCATGATCAAAATTCAACTTAGACTAAAATCTGACAACCAAATGCACAACAAACAAGAATAAGTGTCATTGTTTTCTGAAATGTCTGGTATGTAAATAACCATGGCAGGTTGCCATGTAACAGGTCTCTCACAGAGTTAAGAAAATAAAGCTTCTGCTCAACAAATTAGCTATACAGATAATTATTACAATCATCAACATGGATGTCCTTCAGCCCATATCGACCCCAATGTGTGATTATTTCAGGCTATCATTAAATTATTTCACAACTAGTATGTTTGAACAGTTATTGTTAATCTCCAAACACAATAGTAAGTTGAGATGGACTCCTCCGCTCCATCCACCAAATAAACTGTTAAATTTGGAAACAATAACATCTTTGTCTCTCCAGTTCAAAGTATTTGTCACGGAACCAATTTTCACTTCCTTATAAGCCAAACACATGGCCTTTCTACCCACTGTGCGACAAATTTTACCACTCTTTACCCAGGTCTGGGCGCCCCAAGGCATTGAACTAATTTCTAAACTCGAAAGTATCCAAAAACGTGCCACCAAATTCATTCTTTGCTTGCCTTTTTTGACAAATATCTCTTACAAAGAAAGACTAATGTCTGTAAACCTACTTCCTGTGTGCTACTGGCACGAGTTACTAGATCTAGTATACTTTTACAAGGCTACGCATAATATGATTCACCTAGATCCGTCTGTTGTTCCCTTCGTCTGCGAATGCGCGCGAAGAACCCGCTTATCCGTAACGAGCTCTCAATCTTTTGTGCCTAAAAAATGCAGGACTTCTACCTTTCAGAAATCGTTTTTCATTAGAACCACTAGAATCTGGAACCTACTTGTTACTAGACTTGACCTAGATAATGTTACTTTTGAGAACTTTAAATCTGTTCTTTACGGTTATTACTCGCGGGCTCTAGCAACTGAAACTATGACCCGGACTCTCCAATGAGCTTCAACAGTATTTGCTTGAAATGTAACACAGCCAGGTTTTCAGACCAAGAAATTAGCTGCTACATGTGATTTAAATTGCTACTTTTATCTCTTTTTATTTTTTGGGTCCGCAGTAATTGGCTTTAGCTGTTGCGGTGTCCCTGCCCAAATATTTAAGTTATTATTAGTGTATTGTTACGTTCTTATTACTAGTGTTTGCATATCTTCAGAGTTTTTTTTTTTGTATTCTTCAGGGCAAAGCTAATAAAATAGAATAAAATAAAAAATTCTTCCTGCAAAGATTATCAATGCTCTGCATGTTAATTAACTTACTTAAAATCTTGATACATGCATTTGCATTGTGTTCAGATTAAGTGGTAATTATTGTTTCAAAGGAATTAGGCCCAACAGGAAGATTTTCTAAGTGGAATTTGAAGAAAAACATCTCTGTGTTTTTCAGAATGAATAAATGTGACTATCAGGATTCTTAACAAGTGACCTCAAACATTCCTCATCATTTTCAGAGGATAAAAAAAATGTGCTAGAGGTGTGTTTTAATTATGCTATTCCTGGCAACAATGAATTTCAGTGATTTCTTTTGTTTCACAGATTAATAAGCAACCTTATACATTTTGCACATCGGGTTTTATTCAGATGACGGGAGAACGTCCAAGTAACGTGTCACCAGCTCAGGGAACAACAACTTAATTCAATTAAGTTAAAGTTTCGCAAGTTACATTGGTTATGTAACAGAATGAATTTTGTTTTAAGTTTTAAAATGAACGAAATCTCGTGCGCAAAAAAACATTAATGAAAGACTTTGAATATTTTTGACAGTAAAACTGTTTTGTCACTCCTTGGAACTTGTAAGATCAGTAAATCAATTGAAACCAACTTTTTTTTATCCCTATGTATCGCTTTTTTATTTATCGCCTGTTTTTTTTTTTCAAGGATTTTTTCCCCCGTTGTTAACCAACCCGCCGCTTGAATTCATGACGGATTAAATTAAAACAGAGTTTCACTTATGATTCTCCTAAGATCATGAAACTGGCATTAAGCAGACACGGAAGTGGGGCATAGGCAAGAAAGATAGTGTAGCCCAATGCTAATTCATCGAACCAAAGATCAGTTGTTCCACTTTCAAGAAGTTCTTTCAACTTGATGTGAGTACATATCACCTCCATCCGTATACCCAGTGCTTGTCAAGTAAATGTTAGAGTTGGAGACCAGCGACAAGAAAAACGATGAAGAACAACGAAGCTCAACCAATGGGGAATTTCAAACTCTGTCTGAGAATCTTCTTGGCCGTCTGTGGCTATGTGTAATGGATCTTGATCGCCCATCTTCAGTTTTGAGTTTTGCGGTCTACAAAACTTAGTTATGCAGTGGTGACATAATCTGCCGCATATCTCCTCCTTAAATTGGGGATCTGCGAAAAAGGACCAATACCTTATCATTAATTTTTGAGCATCCCATTCCTTGTTCCACCCAAACAGGAAAGGCGCAAGATGCCAGCGTGCTCAGGTTAGACACTGACCAACTCGCAGGCGAAGTACTGATAATCCCATGTAGCCGCTGTGGTTCTTTTTGTAATCGTGTGGTTGCGCTCTTTAACATCTGCTGTGGTTTGATTTGTTGCTACTGATCCGCGGAAATGTTTAGTGAAGATCGGGACCGCGGGCGTTCCACCCAGCAAGTTTGTAATTTCGCCCCTTTCGGGGAATATTGGCATTGATACTGGTCATGACACACTGATGTTACCTTATCCTTCCATAAAGTTGCCGAAACCACATGTAACAAGATACTTATCATTCTGGCATCAATATTCCACAGCAAAGAGAGCTGTACTGATAAACATTTCCCTCATCTCGCTAGCCTGCGTAGCATGGCGGTTTTGTCGAGCCGGGCGCACGAGCGGCGAGGCCGCGAAAGCCGCGAGTTGCCCCAATCTCCTCGCGGTTTCTCTGCCCTCGCGTGCGTCAGGGTTCATGTTCATATACATGACGTATAAACCGTTTTGGTAGCAGACCGCAGTCAAATGTAATGCGGTAACAGTCGGAGCTGTCGGAGTGTCGGAGAGAAGCTTCGGACAGCAAAAAACAGTCGCAGAATCTTCTGTCATGACGGAATAGAACAGTTCTCGAGCGGTTGTTGGAGTGAAAGAAGTTGTATTCTACTATGATGTTGTTTGTCCATTCGCCTTTATGGCAAGTAAGCTGATAGAGGGTGTTGCTCGTCGAACTGGAGCAAAAATTCGGTGGAAACCGGTTCTTCTAGGTAAAGTATGTAACACTAATCACATGAATGTTGACGAGGCAAATTTGATTTGTTTATGTGATTGGCGTAATAACCGATAGAAGTAATTTATTAAAAAAACGTGTATGTTATCCCCAAACTTTAACAAAGAATTGGAGAACAAAACAAAACAACAAAAAAGAAGAACCCCGTCTTTGAGTGTCAGTCAAAACTCTGATTTGCACAGAAGCCCCAGATTTAGTAATAGTCAATTTGATTTTTGACCAACTTGTTTGCATACCATTCTCAGCACAAGCAGATGACTTAATTTTTTTGTAGGTTTTATTTTTACCTTTCATTGAAGCAGGGCTTCTTGGGAGTCTTCTCCTCTTGTTCCTCTGCAATAATCTCAACCAAGAAATAACGTACTTCACAAGAAAGGGACAGTGTCCGGATTATGCGCATGCGTGAGCGTCATCTGTTTTTTTCTTCAAAAGACAATAGAACTGTCTTATCGACTAGAGAAGATTTCCTTCCGGACTGCACCGCCGATAGTGATTTGTTGTTTACATTCTCACGTAATATTTTAGACTTTCAAAGAAGTCTTTTGTTTTATTTAAAATTTGGTTCGCGGTACGAAAACATATTGCGATTTTATTGCTAGCGGGGCTGCCTCGTGACCCAAAAGTCTTGTTCCGCTCGCTTTAAGAACAGCTTTTCTAATGTTAAACTCACGTCAGTGGTCAATTGTTCCCATTGCAGTAATATTTGCCTGATTTGCTCATGTTCTAGCCTCAAACATTTGAAAGACATAAAGAAAAATGCGATCTCAACGCTATCCATCATCGCAAAGGTTAATTATGATTTCATGGCGCTAGTTTTTCTAAACATGTAGCGCCTCTTTGTTTGATTTTGTCGGCCGTAGGGAGGTTCATTTAAAAGTTTACCAACGCGTTGTTGCAAAAGATTCTGCTTTACGAAGCTTAATTGCACAAGATCTCCTCAGCCACATCAATGTCTCAATGGTTTCTTTCTTACAGTCTTTATTGTTGCTGTTTCATTTCTCCTTATTCCTTTCACAATTATCTGAGCTTGTATGGAAGCTAGCAGAAGAAATAAGCCTTCAATCGGCATCAAAGCGCTTCCCATCTTTTCGTCTCCTCCGGCCAATGGCAATAAAAGTAATGCCAAAAAATCCTGATTTCGCCCAAATCAAAACTTAACAGGAACAATATATCATTGATCTGTAATCCTGAGCAGTTTTAGTGTAGTATTGAACTCAGCCAAGCACAATGCAAACATATTTTTCAAGGTTCTCTTACTCTCCTAACATCTTTTGATTTCAAGACATCCTGTCCAAAAATCAAAGTTTGGTGCATGCGCAGTAACAGGATACTGTTCCTTTAATTTTGACAGTTTCCTTGCCTCCTTTCCTAGTGCAAGAGCACTTCAAACAACTCCCCACCCCTGGGTCCTAAGGGCCTGACTTTTCCTGGGGGTTGCCTTGGGAGGGCAAAGGGGGTGGTAGCCAGTAAAATTTAACCGTGCATTATGCTTTGGAAAAATCATTCACAGCCCCTGAAATTTCTAATGTTATTGATTTGTAAATCTGATAACAATAAGTATTCTAAGCAAAAAAAGCCTGGACAGTTTGTTGCACAACGAGTGTTCTGACCAAGTGGATGAATAATAGACCTGTTGTCAGTGTAATTTTCTTGTGTAGAGCAACAATACTTTACCTAGCTGTTGACAGCGGTTTTTGGTGTTATATACATTTCTTTTTCTTATTTTCTGATATTTAAAGGTGGCCTGTGCAAAGAAACAGAGGCATCCCAGGGTGCTGCAGGATCTACATATGATGATATATGTGCCTCTAAAATGAAGACATTATCTGATGGTAAGAATTTACAAGCCTCAAAATATTTGTGAGCATGCTTGTTACCATTTTTTGTAATATATACTGTGTATACAGTTACAGTTAATTGGGAACCAAATATAATTCAACACAACTACATGTAAGGAAATGAACAGATACAGTCAAACCTCTATTAAGCGGTCCCCCTGGGAAATTAGCCAGCTGACCTCTTAAGAGAGGTTTTCTAAAAATATTAAGCCCATAATCTGGCAGAAATTGACATAGAGGGCAAAATTCATCACTCTTTACAATATTATTTATTGTTCATACAACAACCGTAACAGGAAATATGATAAAAGTATCTGGATGTTCTGAGAAGTTCACACCTAAACAACAAACTTATTTTTACAGTAATGTCATTTGTAGGGCAAGCATCTTTTCAATCAAGCACATCAGCAATTTTAAAACCTTTTTCAACATGGAGAGAGAGATGTGTATTTAATACTGGGGTTACAATGTTATGTTGCATCTGATCAATTGTGAAAGAAACTGGAATTACTTCGGTTATCTTCATGTTAAAAGATATGGCAATTATTAATTGTTCTGTAACAAGGTGACAGTTTAACAGAGGTAACTTATTACAGTGAATTAGCCATTTGGGAAATCCAAACAGTGACCACGTCCTCTTAATAGAGGTGACTGTTCAATTGAGGCCAAATTTACAGTAAATATGAGAAGCAGATTTTGGAAAATTGATAGGTGAATGCTTAATAGAGGGTGACTGCTTAATAGAGGTTTGACTGTATGTGGTTCAGCCAGGGATTGAACTGGGGTCTCTAAATAGGTCCAGCTATCCTGGACAAAAGTTCTTGGGACAGTGTTGCAGTATTTTCTTTAATTTCTTGGTGCCCTCAAAAAACCGTGCAACTTTTTCAAAAATGTCTGGCAGGTCTCCCTCCACCCTACCTTAAATCCAACCTTGTTTGTGGAATGGGGGAAGGGGTTGGGCATGTGTGATTTCAAGGAAGCCCAACAAATGCAAATTTGTTCCAAGATTTTGTCCAATTGATTGTAGTTTAGATGCTGGTAAGACCACTCAACCACTGAACTAACCGCGCCTGGAACATTATTGCGGTTCATGGACCTTTAAGTAGCCAGGTCTGGGGGTATCAACACGTATTTCTGTACTGACAATCACTTCTCTCAGTGCGACTTTCTCACCAGCGCGGCGGTTTTGTACCACGCGAATGGCTAGCAGCAAAGTGCCTATTGAACTCATAGTAGATGGCGAAAGAAGAAGCCATTATTGGCTATTAACTTACAAAACATGGATGTGTCTCTTAAACCTCGGAAAGTTGCAGAGATTAAAAGAAAAGTTTAAGTGACACAGTGTTTCTTTTACAGTGCCTCGGAGTTCATTCGCAAGCTTCATAAGCTTCACCGCGACATTAACCAGACAACTGCTTTGATCCAAGAACCTTCACCGGAAAACATGATCAACATGCCCCGCCTGCGGGTAGCAATGGACTTGTGCATCGAACAACTTCCCACACTGCTAAAAATAGAACAGGACGGGGCTGTTTCTGTCACTCAACTTCTCCCACGTGTGCTTTCTCAACTGCGTGCCTTGTCGGTTTATTCCAAGACTTGCAGCTCTGTTGGAGCGGAGGAACGAATTTCCGAATCCATGGGTTATGTCTTGCAAAAGGTACATATATTATTAATAATGGTAATAGGACTGAGTGGAGTCGTTCCAATCCGGTCTGTAATCATATGAGTGACTGTGGGAGTCCAATTTGTGTGACACGAAATTCTGTTACCAATTGATCATAATTATAACAAAACTTGTAATATTTTATGATAAGCTTTTTTAAAATTAAAACAAAATATTCCGAGAGTTTTTAGCTAGCGGTGAAATAAAAAATTCAAGTGCGCCCGCGCGATGGTGCGTACTGTCCAATTACTTATGCAGGACGCGTACTGTCCTAATATTACACTGTCCTATTAGTACAGGTAATCACATGATTTCGAGTGCAGTTTGGAATAAGTAAGCACGAGTAAATTTTTTCAAAGGCTAACAAAATTGCACGAGCCAGTAGGGCGAGTGCAATTGGTGGTCTTTGAAAAATTTACAAGTGCTTGTTTATTCCAAATTTCACGAGAAAAATCATGTGGTTACCTATTAATAATATTTATTAAAAAATTGCGAGATAGCTTTAAAATCACTTTTACAGGGAGTCAACACGCGTAAACTACGTGCAAAAATAAATTATTCAAATTCTGCAAATATCATCACACTTGCAGTCAAAACAACATTTTGCTCGATGTTTTTATAGTTTGCAAGCTGCAGAAACGTGCTGAACTGTTCATGGAATTGTTCAATGTGTTTGAATTAAAGATTCTGGGTTATTACCTCGAGTCGTCCGTTAAAAAAGGGGCGACTGTATTTCTTTTCTGTCTGCGTTGATTTCAGGAATGTCAGTGGTTCAACTGTCTACTCTATTACATCCGTCACTCCTTACAAGTACTGGAGCATTGTGTCCTTGGCGGCTCACCTGCAATTCCGCCCTCCCTTGAGTCCGTTGTTGACTCACTCCAGTGTAACATAGTCCCCACTGATTGGCTACATCCGGATTCTCAGCCCTCCCCCCACATTTTGACGTCCTGGCTGAAAGGTAATGATCGATGGTGTTCGAAATCAGAGTAGATAAGAAGTAGAGCACTGTCCGAGCGAACCGTGAGATACTGCACGGTGTACAACGAGTGATAGTTTTATGAGGTTTCCCCATGGCAAAAGATTTCGTTTAGCGGTGTTTTGCACAATACAAAAGGGGTTAAATCTTGGGTATTGTTCTTCTTTATTTTGTATTTTATCAGCTTGATTGGGCACAGACCTACCCAATGGGAAGAGGCTACATATCCTTTTCCACAATCCACGGTAGACAGACACTGAGGGCGTTCACTGCCGGGAATCCTAGCGGTTCCACGAAAGTCAGATCAGAGAAGTGCTGTGACACAGTACGTACGGTGTTTATACCCTACCAAAAAGACTAAAATGTGATGTGAACTAAGATAAGATAAGTAAATGTGAACCAAAGGCAACTCATTCTCCTCAGGTATTTAAAGACCTGAGCGTTGGTCCCGCCAGCGATTAGACGCGGGCATTTTGCCCCGAATTGTGGTACTCAACCAGTTGATCTAAACAGTCGGCGGTTGTCTTTTTGAAACAGATTTTAGTCGGCGGCACAAGCAGCTCAGTGACTGGGTTCGACGTGGAATCGTTCCAAATCCAAACTCTGAACCCCTCATAGGACGGGGTCAGCTGACCTCTGTCTGGCTTGGTGGCCTGGCCAATCCCGGAGCTCTGATGACGTCACCCAGGCATGAGAAAGCGGCCATGGCGGGATGTTCTGTGGGCGAGGTAGGATTGAAGCAAGCTTATAAAATGTTGTTAAAAATTGTATTTCGTTAATAATTTGTGTGCATACTTTGATATGCCGGAAGACTGAGCTAGCTAAGGGATAGCTTTGCTTTACTTGAGGTTGCGTCAAGTGGAGGCTTGTTGTCCGAGCGGTTAACACCTCGATCAGGAGGTCTGGGTTCAAGTTTAACCGTCGAGTTGTTTCCTTGGAGGAGAATTTTGCTTTATTGTCTCTCATCATCCTGGTGTATGAACAGGTACCGGAAATGTATTGTTGAGAGCAAACAAAAAGTGGAAAGGCAAAGCTTACTTTACAGCTTAGAGTTCGTTAAAAGTTTTTAATTCAGTCAATATTTCGTTAGGTACGGCCTGCCCGAATGACTAACTGCGAGAAAGTTCATCAAGGAAGAAAGGGATGTATGATAACAATGAGATCTTTAAAATTCGTACGTAACTCGTCGAGGTCTATCAATAGACGCCAAGTATTGTAAACTGCGCAAAACAAAAATTGGAAAGGAAAGATTGAAAGCACATCTGTACGGAAATTTTCTTGGTTATCACGAAAGTGTGTTCTCTTATGATTTCAGTGTTCCCGGCATAGTTCATTTTCCGTTATTTGAGGTAACCTAGGAACCGTGCCTTTCTGGGGGAAGGTATTGCAATAAGCAAACCCCTCTCCACCTACGAATTTGAAAGGTCTTTACTTCATGTCATTCTATGTCAAATTACAGGGAAAAGAAGTCCTTGAAAAGTCCTCGATTTTTCCCCCCAAAATTCTGTATTAACCATGGAAGTGGCAAGCCTGGATACCTTGCTGGGCATTCTTAGGCCTAATAGACCTTTTTAACGATACGGCGGCCATATTGAATTAAGTCGATTTAAGGAGTATTATAGGATGCCCAGGGGGCATGAGCACATTTCGTTTGTATTTTCGAGCGCTTTACGGGACATTTTTTCGTAAAGTTTTCTTAGAATAAGATTGTAATGGGAAAAAAGATCCTTGTGCCGTGTTTGGATGTAGTAATGATCGCCTTTTTCCCGCGAGATATACAGTGAAAGACCACATTTCTAATACTAAACTAGAAAAAGGCGATCATTATTACATCCAAACACGGCACAAGGATCTTTTTTCCCATTACAATCTTATCCTAAGAAAACTTTAAGAAAAAATGTCCTGAAAAGCGCCTGAAAATACAAACGAAATGTGCTCATGCCCCCTGGGCATCCTATAATACTCCTTAAATCGAATTAATTCAATATGGCCGCCGTATCGGCAAAAAGGTCTATTAACTTCGAATCCCAGGGAGGAGGGGTACTGCTTATGATGGCCTATATAAGGAGGCTTTCCCCGAAAGCTAAGCGATCCTCCTAACACTCTACCTTGGCTACCCACAGATTAAGAGTTCAGTGATTTCTCTTAATCAAGTAATATATAGATTTAGCCAGGGCTAAAAGCGAAGCTCTGGTTAATAATACTTATAAACAAAAATATATATATATTGTGTAATGCTAAACGGAGACGGCAATGAAAATTCAAGTCTGATAGAAAATTCAAGTCTAATAGATCAAATTAGCAAAAAAAAAAAAACAAATTGCACGTGCCGCACACTTTTTCTTCTAATTAGCAAAAAGCAAATTTGCACCTGCAGCACGCTTTTTTGCATTTGGGTTGCCATACCTGTTTATTGAGTTATTTTATATTGGTATGCCTGTGGTGCGAGCGAACGGTCGCTGGCTCGCTCGCTCGGTGTACGGTCACGTGATTACCAAATTTTCTCGGATGGGTAGATTACCACATTTCCTTAGCTATGGGGCTCTGCCCACGCGCGTCGAGCTCCGCTAAGAATCGCGACAAACACCAACTAAAGGTATTCAGTGGGATCAACAAGTGTCTCCTGATACAGGCTATAGCACAGGGTTAACCAACTCCACGCGAAAATCGTGAGCCCCGTACTTGCTGTCCATTAATTTGCTGCGATTGCTTCTTGCTTCTCCTACAAATGATATTCAGTGTGAGTCACACCTCCTCTCCGGGGGTGGTAACACGCCAGTGTGCTACGTTTCTGTGTACTGTGTGCTTTATTGCTGTCTGGTTCGCTCAATTGGATAAGCGCCGTTCCGCCAAGGAGGAGGCCCCTTTTAATAACTGAGAAGGAAGTGCTGCCTCAGGGTTTTCAGTCTTGAAAAGTCCTTGAATTTTAGGGGAAGTCATTGAAAAGTCCTTTAATTTTCTTCAACTCTGAATGTAGTGGCCTGGAAAATGTTTTTTGATTTTTTTTGGTTGTCCAAGATAGAATATAAATCATAGCTTAGAGAATTTAGAGGTTATTTACATAAAGTGCTCTATGTTTTATGCAATAATTAACTATCAATTTAAGACAAGTGAACTGAAAAATGTAGAGAAGTTGGTGAAACAAACAGTTCAAGCCTTAAAGTCTTATTAGAATAGAATGGGAATGTGCATTTTTGTACAATCTGTGAAATTATATTCCTAGTAGGTGGTCCTTGAAAATCTAAAGGCATGGCGCATGCTAGTCGCTTACGATAGTCGTAAGCAAAAATCGTTTCGTTTAAATCGGCCTCAATGTGGTCCTTGAAAAGTTGCCGTTGTAAAGACATCTGCAAACGGTTAGACTCTCTAGTCTACTCGGATAAGGACGATAAACCGTAGGCCCCGTCACGCAACCCTTGCGCGTATAAATTCTGTGGCACGTTAAAGAGCCCACTCACTGTTCGTTGGGAGTAGGAAACGTAGTCCACGGTGTGGTGGTCTCTCTCTTTCATGAGGGAAGCGACTGTTATGGGCCCGCAGTAATTGGCGCCAAGCGCTCTTGCGTTGACCCTACCAAGAGTTGGCGAACCTAAGTAAATAAGTTCTCCTTTTCAGACAATGTAGGTACGGTGCGTTCCTCGAGACCATCGATTGATAAAACCTCGTTTTGCTATTCTATACGAATGACTTCAGGTTGAACTCCGCTGTTCTCTGGCAAAATCGTACTTATCACGTGATGACAATGTCAGCGATTCCGAGCAAGGCCTGGTGATTAGCGGGCTGTATTTAGAGGGTGCGTCTATGGATCTGGATAAAGAGTACCTTGTGGAACCAACGTGACTAAAATCAGCTAATTACAGTCAAGCCAGGTCAAGCGTACCTCCCCCCCTCAAGATTTTATTAATAAATGTATTGTTCAAAAGTTGAATCTCCTCATTGGTAGTTGTGGATTTCAGATTCATCTTTGCTTTGGTAGTTGTACATTTCAGAGTCATCTCTGCATTAGTAGTCGTACATTTCAGATTTATCTCTGCATTCATGCATGCGCAGTGAACATGAACTTCACACGCGAGACAGTCATGAAATTTCTACCGGCTCAATTTTCTTAAATTTGATGTAAATGTCTTCAAATAAGTTTTATCAATATACCATTTTCGATATATTAAATCATACTTGGCTCCGAGGCTTGGGGGAATAAAACAAAAGAACTCATCTTGAGGCTCAGCAATGAATCATACATTTCTTTTGTTTCTTTCCGCCAAGCGTCGGAGCCAAGTATGAATTTTAATATCTCGAAAACGGTCTATTCAAAAAGTTTTCAATCTGGCCGAATACAGCCTAAGAGTATCGTAAAAAATTCACTTCTGATTGCATACGCAGGAATGCAGATTTGAATTCATACTGGTTGTGGCAACGAGTGTTTCAGTTTTCAAATAATCGATTCATTTAGCGGGGGTACGCTTGACCTGGCCTGACTGTGAGTCTCTTACAAGTTTGATTACGAGATGGCGTTTGTCTGTTATCAGAATATAAGGGAGCTAAAGCAATGACATTTTTGAGCGACGTACGTCAACCGGAAGTGAGGGCATTTTCCTTCCGCCTCAAAACGCAAAAAGTCTACTTCCGGTTGACGTGCTTCGCTTTGAGCTCCCTATGTTCGAATCTTCCTCGTAGGTCGTCAAAAAATGAGGCAAGCGATTAGTTCACTCTAAGCTTTTGTCGTTGGTCAGACTATAGTTCTTTCGGACCAATCAAGGTTTCCGGGTAATTGACCACCTACCCCACCCCTAAGACAACATTAACACCTACTTCTGACTTAGGGCAAAATTGTGACTTAGGGGAGGGGTAGGTGGAATTGACTCGTTCTTAATTTTTTCTCTTTTAAATTAGGTCGGCCATATCACAGTTACCAGACCTTTTTGTGTCTGCCGTCATCCCTGAAGAGGAGGAGCCTAGGCCCGAGGACAGGAATGAGGCAGACGATTTGGAAGTTTACCGCTGTCCTGTATTTATGAATAGAGTGAGATTTGATGTTTTCCTCTAGTTGGTCGTGTACGAGGATGGGGGCCCTGTTTTCGTTTTTACCTTCTAGTTCTGCGATTGGTTTCCAAGGCTCTACACGGGGATATAAAATGCGGTAAAACTTTCCCATTCCTGATATAGATGTCTCATCTCTTTCTGCTTCGCCAAATCAGGTTATTTTGAATGTGTGTGCTTTAAAAAAGTAGCACATCTTGTAAAAATGTTAAGAAAACTAGCTGACGTGAACACATCCTTCGCTTTGATAGTGATGGAGTACTCAGTTAAACTATAGAGTGTTACGGTGACGGTAGACCGGTTAGGGGTACCAATGTCCCAGAGGAACATCCCCACAAACATTTTCTTGAAGTGTCCCTAGTGGCTCTAGCTGTCCTGATATCTAGGCTTAAGGCTCCAAAGCGCTGTTTTGAGCTTGATAGAAGCTGGATTTTGTTTTTACTTCTTTTTCTACTAAATGCGCTTCCCTTTTAATGTTGTTGGTGTACAAGGAAAAAAGTGATATGAAGGGCGTCAGTAAGGGCCTCTTGGTTTAAGATTCTTCTAACTGGAGATCTGCCGGCCTTTCCCACCGTGGTTTTAAGAGAACTTTGCTGGGGAGTTATTCCTTTACTGCTGTGTATATCCGGTTAGTAGTGGCTCTAATTGTTTGTGTCTGGTTTATTATGTCGTGTGGTTCGAACTGGTGTAGGTGGACGCAGTTTCTTCAGTGTCAAGCTTAACAGTTGGTGATTGTCAAGTATGTAATTAGAACCGAATCAAATCGTATTTATGATATTTTCTTGGTCATTTCACAGGCTCGACAGTTTTGTTCGTTCACTTTACCGATGAAATGTTCCAAGACCGCGGAGCACTGGGTTCTAGCTGGTGTTGCCATAGTTTTGGATATAAGAGACGCGTCCAACTCTTGGAAGCTGGTACCGAGCAATTTTAAGCAGTGACGTCTAGGCCTTTTATCTACCCTCTTTGAAACATTTCTCAAATTTCTCTGAAGAGGAATTTATCAGCGTTTGATTTTAAAATATTTGTGTACAAAATCGAAACTCTCTGATGAGTTGTTTATAGTTCCATTTAAAAATTTTTGTTTGTCGCCCTTCACTTTATTGAACGCTCATGGAGCCAGTCGCCATAAGACCCAATGTCTGACGTAACTACTGTTGTCTGGCGTTAAAAACGTTAGTTGTTACGTCAGGCGTTAAGATTTTACGCAACTAGGACTGAATAGCGTCTGTGAAGCTTGAACTGTCATTCGCCATCAACAGTCTTACAACAGACTACTAGACTCCTTCCATACTCAGTAGACGTGCTGTAAAAATTCTTTATACTTGAATTCTAACGCCTTGTATATAGTCGCGTAATATTCTCATAGGTTTGTTTGACTTTTGTTCGGACGAAGGTGTGTGCCATGGAGGGCAACATAATGTGAGTTTGAGAGGAAAAGTTCCCACTGAGTCTTGCGCTTTTCTTTAAATTACGTCACAGCAAGAAAGAATATATATTATTCTTTCGTTTTCCCTTTCATATCTTAAGTTAGCTCGAGTGTCTGAATAATAACACATAATTTGAACAAGACAGTAAACCCTGAAGAACATAGTTGTAGTTAAATGACCTCCTCCTGCAAATGGCTAAGTGAAAGTTATCAGTTTTTTCCTTTGCCAGGTTTATGGCACAAACAAGCACTAAGCCTACATAAGAGAGTTCATCCCGTCTTGGTATATAATGCGCCTTTTGCACGGTTTTGCGTGGCTTGTATGTAGCAGGTATGAAAGCTTAGCCTGCGTAGCAGGCGCTTGGAAGAAGTGGGCGAAAGAGAGAACGGGCGCTCGCGAGGGAGACACGCGTGTCTCCTTCTCGCGCGCCCGTTTTTTCTTGTGCCCACTACTTCCAAGCGCCTGCTACGCAGGCTATTGAAAGCTCTTTATCACTTTTAAGAGACTTTTCACGGTGCATTTAGGCCGATCCATTGCACACTTGTACAGCAAGAGTTCTTAGCACCATCATAAGTTATTTTTTTTTATCAATAAACAAGTTCATTTTCTTTATTAAATGCCTTTATTACGCTTTGAATAACCTTCTCAAGTCAGGGTCAGTTTCTCAAGAAAAGTCACATTCGTTTGATTAGTTAATAAACTACGATCACTGACGCGTCTTGTCATGATCAACGTCCTGTTATATTCACATGATGGTGAACTATCAGCCTCGTCAGGTTGCAGCCCGCGTAGCTGGCGAGATTATGCGGCAAATGCAGATTAGCTTGCAAATGTTGTATTGTTTTGTAAGCAGAGCCGCGAAAAGATTGAAAACACGTCAAACCTGCGGCGTGCTCCACTAAGAAAGTACCCCCGCGCATAAGAATCTCACCAGCTACGCAAGCTATCAAGTTGGAGATATGTCCAGGACTGAAATAATCAAGCAGGAGAAAAACGAAAAGTTAGAAAATTTGATGAGGAGTTCAATCATAAACATAAGTGGTTCCTCGATTCCTCGTTCGTCCATAGGAGTATCCAACGTCGTTGTTAACACCTCCTTTGTGTACGTTTCTTGGATAAAAGGGACTTCAAGATCCAACAACTCGACGGCAACGAGAACGTCAAAAAAACAATAGGTTTAATTAGCAAAGACAAACTTCGCACGTGCATCACACTTTTATGTTCATAACTGCAGCTTTTGCACGACTGCGACGTGGAAATGCCTAATTTCGCGTTTTATGGAGAACGTAAACAGGCAACGACGAAGTTTTATTTCTCTTTGTGAACTTGAATATGGTCCCTTTGAATTCAATTTCAGGAAGTTTTTCGCTACATTTGACAAAGTCAGTCAAGTACGGGATAATCGCGATGGAGACTGAAAAAACGCAAATTCACTTTTTAAGCGACGTTCTCTTTGCCCTTGTGTCTTTAGATCTTAAAGTCTCTAATGTTTCCTAACGTCGTTAATATTTTAGCTCACCGACATTTTATAGGGCGTTTCCTAACGTCATAGTTAAACCATGCATTTCTGGAAGAATTTTTCGAACGTTAATGTTACATTAGGGCTTGGAAGTTTTTAACGTTTAAATATTTACTTTCCTTTGGTTGCTGGAAGGTGGATCATAACGCTGTCTACAATGAAATATGACTATCAAACAGTTAATTTGTTTCCCAAAAGTCTCAATTTTTTCCAAGGTAGAGGCAACGGGAAACATTGATTTGAAGCACAATCCACTGTTCGTTAAAGAATCAGTTGGTAAGTAATTTGTTTGCTTGCGAGAAGGCTCTCCATTTGGGGGAGTCGCGAGAAGAAATGCTAGAGCAAAACGCGACGGGGCAGTACTGCTAGGAACTGTGAAAAATTTGAATCTCTTAATAAGCGCGCGCTACGTATTGTTTTTAATGATAAAGTTTCGTCCTACCAGCAGCTACTACATAATTCAGGAGGAGCAATTCTATACAACCAAAGGATACAAAATATGCAAATCACTATCTACAAATGTTTGCACCATGAAAGTTTTCCTAAATATCTTAAAAGACATGCTTACTATGCGTCAGCCTTTGTACTCTTCTAGAAGAACTAATATTCTATCACTATGTAAACCTGCTACTACTACTTACGGCCTCAACTCTTTTCGTTACTTTGCATCTAAAAAATGGAACTCCCTACCTAATGTAAGATCTGAGCCTACATTATCTGGTTTTAGAAGACTCCTGAAAGCAGTCTCCTTTCAGACGTAACGGTATATTTAACATTTTTCATATATGTAAATACATTTTTATGTATTTAAATAGATTTATTTTATGTATGTAAATAGATTACTCTTTTCTTTTTTTTTCTCGAAGATATTAGCCTTTCAGGCTGCTCTGAAATTCGAGTATAAATAAAGTTCATGTTTGTGTTTTTTTTCATGTTTTCAATTTAAAATTCTAACGTGATTCCAAGGCTTTAGGGTCAAAATTGCAAATTTTTCACGACTCCATTGTCTCGCAATTCCCAGCGGAGAATTGAGCTCAAGGAAAACCAAACCAAATATAGAAAAATGATTAGAAAGCCTCCTAGAGTCATGTTAGAATTTTAATATATCGAACGTGCCCTATATTATTTCTCACTTAATTGTGCCAATAACAAAATTCGTGAATCTGATTGGTTCTCAGTATCCCTTACCGATTGCTTAATTTGACTGAGACAGCACCAGAACTGTCCAATTTTTGCTTTTCGATTAGATGTTTGTGATCGAACATGTCCATTCGGACAGCTGAAGAGCCAATGAAAATTGAGCATCAAATGTTGCCAGACAATAAGAATTAACAAATTAGTCCATGCTAGCAAATCAAAGCCAACGAAAAAACTTCAGTGGACAATTTTGCCAGCATCATTTTGACACATCAGATTTTTTTAAAAAAATGTATTGAAAATAGTTCATGTATTTTGAGCTCCATAGTCCAAAATTTTGAGCCATGTTTTTGCTTTGGAAGGTGTAAGCTAATGTAATGAGAAGTTTGTACTTCAATAAGTATTCCAATCCTGAGATTCTCGCACTTTGTAATTGATACAATTCAACACTAGAGAAAATATCATAACATACCATAATATTCTTTGCTGGTCACTCCAAAATTTTGCATAAGCATGGCCCCAAGAGAAACTGAAAACAATGCTTATGCAAAATTTTGGAGTGACCAACAAAGAGTATTATGGTATGTTGTGGTATTTTCTGTCGTGGTCAATTAATTGATAATGGGTCTCCGTGTCGTACAATTCAGTGGTGATCAGAATTATCCGGTGGATAGCGTTATCCACCTTTGGAACAACTGGGGCCTGAGTAATTTCAAATTAGGGACTTTAAGATCCAACGACGCGACGACAACGAGAACGTCGCTTAGAAAGTGAATTTGCGTTCCTTCATTCTTAATAGCAATTATTCCTACCCACTTACTTTGTGAAATGTGGGCGAACCCTTCTGAAGCTGAATTTCAAGGGTCCATAGCCAAGCTCAGAAAGACAAACAAAGTTTCGTCGTTGCTTGTTTACGTCCTCCATAAAACGCAAAGTTAGGCATATTCACGTCGTAGTCGTGCAAAAGCAGGAAAGAAATGTACAAAAAGGCGTGATGCCCTTGTTTTGCTTATTAAACCAATTGTTTTTTTGATGTTCTCGTTGCCGTCCTCGTCGTTGGATCTTAAAGTCCCTATTGTCCTCGCGCTACGCGCTCGGCCGATTTTAAATTACTAGCCTGATTATTTCCTGAATAGTACTTTACTCAGTCCTATTACCATTTCGAACCATTACTAATAGTCCTTATTGGCTAGCTACATCTAAAGGTCACTAACACGACCAACTTGTACAACACATAATAAATCCGCCAGTCATAAAAACGTAACCGCAACAAAACAAAACAAAGCAGTCAAATCTATGCTATACAGATTTCAAAAATTTGCATAGTTCCCGCGTAATCATGGCAAGAACAAGCACAATAAAGAACCCAAAACCGACTTTCTGATAAAAAGGATTTTTATACTCGCAAATGACCTCATGCTTTCCGGGAGGCAGCACTACGCTCATCAGGTTTGGCGTCACGTGGTGTATCGTAAGAGAGTGCCATCCACGTGACTGGTCACGTGAGTCATCAGGTGTTGAACGGAAGGAGCATCTCCAATAAGGATGGTAAGTGACTTTTATGAGGAGGTGTTCGGTTCTGTACAAGTTCTAAAACAAAATAGGATTAAGTTAGCAACGTCGTTTCCGTGTCAGGTTGAGTTTTGCTTGGACTACAACAGTTCAAGACTAAGAACTCTCACTTCTTACTGTTAATGAAAAGTACTTAGAGAGACTTTAAAAAGCTGTGTGACGGAATTTAGGCAAATTCAAACATCAAGAACTGGCCACCAAGTTGAGCGAAGGTTTCAATATATTGAGAAAAGGTCTGAATGACACAGCAACGACACAATATGGCGAGGATGGATAAAATAGACCACTTTCGATATATTACGATTCATACTTGGCTATGACGCGTGGGGGAATAAAACAAAAAAATGTATTATTCATTGATGAGGCTCACTGATTTTAGCGGAGCAAAAATTGCAAATGTGATTGGAAAAATTAAGAAGACAAGTATTATTATCATTTTAAAGCATTGTATAGAACAGTTTTCACCCAAGCCTAGGGCTTTTAATATATTTTAAATAGATTTTTATCTATGAATTTGTAATAACTTTTGTTATATAGATTTAGCCAGTGCTAAAAGCGAAGCCGTCGATACCATTTATATTTTGCTCAATCTAGGAAACGAGAACGGTGAAAAAAACAGCAATAGGTCTTATTTGCAAGAAAACAATTTGCACGTGCAGCACACGTTTTTTTACATTTTTTTTGCCGTTGTTTTGCACGACTACAACGTGAAACTTCCAGAAACTTCCTGGTTACCCGTTAAATGGAGGAAATGTTGTACGTGTACTTGTTCAATTTTTTTTTTGTTTTTCACGTCGCTCATGTTTACTCTGGTGGAAGCAAGCATTTCTCATTTTCTCACCGCTGCAACAAAATTTCACGTTGTTCCTCGAACAAAAAATGTTTCCTTTGCTTTTTTCTCTCTCTCTCTAGTTCTTTCCCTCGTTGAGCTTTGCTGGCCTGTCGCCCTACTTTCTGTTTTCTCCATCTTTCTCCGCCTTTCTCTATATTCCAGATTGTGGGCATGACAATTAATCTAAGCTTGATATATCAGACAACACACAGAAACATTTTCCTTTTTCGTCTTTTTAATATTGACTCTTTAGTTGCCTTTGCTTCATAAGACGCGGGTAGCCATACGATTTCCCGCCAAACTGATAACCTAACATTTGACATCGGGTTGCATGTAGTGGTCGATCATCTAAAGCCCAGGAATAAAGTTTGAAAAGTTTTGCTTGTAACCATAGTTTAACAAGAACTCACCATATGGGGGGCAAATGAGACTGCTAACACACACACAAAAGTTTTCCCAAAGAAGAAAAGTTAAGAAAACTTTGTGCTGAATAGGAAGGAGATTGCCCAGTACCTATTGTATGGATAGCGAGATGAATGGATTTAAACCAGACAGTGGAACGTTAAAACCCAGGCAGATACCCTCTATAATACTCCCTACTTGTAGCCTGGACTAGAGAGACTTCGCCCAAAAGGGGTAAGTTTTTAAGGATTCAGGTATATGAAGGGGTAGGGGAACTTGTCATTTAGGTATCTAAAATCATTATCATGAAAATGATAAGAAGAAGACTTCCTGTTAGTAGAAATGTGATTGTGTGAAAAGGGTAGCATTTTCCAAAGGAAGGTAAATGAGAAGGATACCTTTTCTGTCAAAAATGCTAGATTAAATGGTTATGGGTTGGACTGAGGATTTCCTTCTAAAAACACTTACCAGTACAGAAAAAACGTTTTTCAGGGATGAAGGAGGACAAAAATTCCTACCCCACTCCCACCCCATGACCAAAAGCATTACATAATGGAGAATAAAAAATGATGACATACTTGGTTCCAAGTCTCCTCGGCCACTTCAACTTGAGCAGAGTACAAATTTCGCTCCGCTTTCTCGGAAAGAACTCTTGACATTAGCAGTGGTGGATTGCGACCGAATTTCACATCTGCAAAGAATCTTTCTTCGGAAGCCTTTCTTCCATTAACATACCATGTTGTTTCAAACTGTTCAAAGGATGTTAACCTGTGAATGAGACCAGCGTTTGCGTTGTGATCTGAAATTACAATTTTGAACAAAGCCTTGTGCGCAAGTTCACAAGATGGATTTATGGCAAATAGTATCCTATTGGTAAAAAGCCGAGTGGTTTTTAACACAGCCCATCGCATGCCTTTCAGGTCTCCTGAAACAACGCCCAGAACATATGTAAAGTCAAAATATCCATAATCCTCTTGGGGCTCTCTTACGAATACCTCCATCGCACCTATCGTGGCCAGGTACCTCAGCTCACAGTGACGCAAGAAATGTCGAGGAACTTCGATCCCGGATGTAGTGACGAAGCGGATGTTGTAAAGACGCAAGAGATCTGGGAGCCAGGGAGTGGAGTCCAGGGATGGATTCATCTCTTCCAGGTAGTACAGAGACAAGGTATCGTGATAGCCTCTTGAATAGGTCACAATCCCTAAAAACAAATGGCAATAGACAACCGTCGGTTGGTAGGAAGGGAGTTTTTAAGAACCATTGTTTTAGTCAAAATTCCATTTCTGTGAAGTGATGAAAAACAAATAGAACTATTGCTGAAGAGGTTTCACGTGAATGGTCACACCATTCAATTTTGTCCACAGACTCAAAATTTAAAACCACATTGCAGGACGCCATCATTCATTCTGGGAGAATATTGGGAGTCAAAGGCTTAATGAATAGATACCAGTGGCGGATCCAGACTTTTAGATAAGGGGGGGGCGGTCATCCAGACCCTGAGATAAAGCGGGGGCGGTCTCCATTTGGTCTAAAAATAAGGTGGGTTGGGGGCGGGCCTCCCCTAGATCCGCCACTGGATAATACCCCAAAATAATCATCGTAGTTAGTGCCTACACCCAGAAATTCAGTAGGAGACAATAAATTAAAAACGTCCCGAAAATATGTTCGGACAGACTTTAGATTCCGGGGGTTTAAGTTGGAGCTAGGTAACGATAGATAGTCACAAGAAATTTAGCGATTAAAAATGATTGAAATATCAAAACTCAATGGAGGGGTCTCACGGCTTATGCTGGAAAACTCGATCATTATGTTTTTCGGGATCACTGACGAAGGTACTGATACGCTCAAAGTTATGCTAAAAGTTCAATATGCTCTTAAATATGCTGGGCTAAAATGCCTTTTTCCCTTCGGTACCTTTAGATGTAAATCCACATGAACGAATGTGAAGCCTGACAAGACAAAGACAAGACCCAGGGGCATACACCCAAAAAGAGAGGGTGGGTCGGAACAATTGCCAGCTACATGTATGTAGGTAATATTTATTTTCCTGAGAATTATTTTTAAAAATAATACAAAATTCTAAAGAAAATGGCGGACGCGACCCCCCTCGGGTCACCACCCCTAAATACGCCCATGAAATGGGTAAACTAGGCTTTCTACTATGCCAAAATACATTGGGCACAGCTGTTACGAGTCTCTGAAGGTCTCCCGAGGAATTCAATTCCTAAAATGGCCGTACTTTTAACAACTGTGTACATTGCGGGCGTTGCATAGAAAAATTTGCATTTAGCTTTTAGACGTGCAATACGACAATTGACATTGAAAAAAAAGAAAGTTTATGCCACAAATATGGGTCAGGGGCACCCAATGAATTTTTTCTATAAAATAACCGTTCCAAGGAGCAAATATTCTGAATATTGCCGAGAAATTATTAAAGCTCGAGAAAGGCTAATAAAGTCTGGATAATAGTTCCGCTCTTCCAATTCTTTCGGAGCTTTTTAACTTATAGTAACTTACCAACGATTTTCGGAGGTTGTGTTTTTGACATTTTATCAAGATATTTCGTTTACTTCTCCTGAAAATTTCAGTGTAAGAAAAAACTCCCCCTGCTGCTGAATGCCCTCGAACTTTCGACCGAACCCATCAGGGTAGTTAACAGTTTCGAATGAGACGAGATAGCCACTTGGCCAAACTATCGAGACGACCATAGTTCCCCTAAGGCATCCGAACATATAAGATATATTACATGAATATGGATTTGTTATATAGCTAGGAGTAAGGAGTACGTTTTTCCCGCGCATTTGAAGTGGAAGATCTCGTGTGGGCAAGATAGGCTCATAGTTCCCGCTCGGGTAACCAATCAGGAGGCAGCATTCGCTTCATGTTGCCCGCTGAGCCATATAATAAGGCGAGTTAAAGCTCCGGATGTGTAGCGTAGCGAGTTTTGTCATCAGTAGTTTGTTTTGTTGAGAACAGAACAATCATCATCACTAATATGCATAGAATTGCTACTGCGTAGTTTTGATTTGCAAGATTTCAACTCCAGAATAAAAAATAAAATCACCTTGTGTAATAAAATGCTTAAAAAAAAAAAAACAGTTCCCAGACGGCAGGTTTTCAACCACAGACTCACAGTTAAGAGCCTCATTGTACATTGTTATAGGCGAATCTTTGTTTTTTGACTTATTAATATGTCATGCCCTTTCATTCTCTGATCAAGCTATTAAAACAATCTCTCTGAATATTGAAAGAACTCTCGGAGAAAGTATCTCTGAAAACCTCGAAAATAAAAACAAACAATGTATGGGCTCATTAACGTTTTTGCCACCCGGCAATTTCGCAGTTTTCGATTGCGGTTACTTCCTTTGCTATTGCTTGCAAAAGGTTGAAAATTGCAGAAATTGCTTAAATTAACTCTTTCAACTTTTGAATTATATTTGTGCATACGGTCACGCTTTCTATGGGTTAAATACGTATGTTAATGAGCAAAAATGTAAACAATGACGTCTTCAAAGATTCGCCTAAACCGTTCAGACATTTATTCGCTGACTAATAAGTTAGAAACACCTTGTACAGACGCGGTAATGATCACCTAAAGAGAGAAATCTTCAGCAGCCTTTATTCAAAGACTTATCAAATTCAAGCTACAACAAACAAAAAATTCACGGTCGGACTCCAGGAAAAAAGCGTTTACAAACATTACTGCAAAAGAAATAACAATTCTTCGACTTTACCAGGCTTTTTGCTGAGGTGAGGTATAAGAGACAAGTCCCAAGCGCCACTTAACCCTGTAAAGAACAAACAAACAAAGAGAGTAAAGCGTTTAACCCAGTTTGAAGCTTTTAATTGACACGAGCAAGTCTCGTTTGTCTTGGAAAACTTCCTGTTGTGTCTGCCTGAGAAGAAAAGGGGCCACTTCGCCCAGGAGCCAATCAGCATTGAGTATTTGGAGCACGTGAACGATTTCGCCCAATGAAAGTGCGAGAAAATTTCGGTGACGCTAGAGTGACTAATATGGTATAAGTCACTGACGGCACTAGAATGTTCTCAAGCGCTGATTGAATTAAATCGGTCACGAGTTGCAAATACTCAACGCTGACTGGCTACTGGGCGAAGCGCTCCCTTTTCCTACTTGCCGCTTTGCGCTTTGGATGCCAGTGGCACCATTCACTATTTTACCACATGTGACTTACATAGACATTTTTTCGCACGCCTCGCCCTGGCTACATACATTTGCCTTTAGTTCTGATTAGTTAAGTTGACTCTCTGTGTACACAGTAAATAAGCATAGGTCAAAAAGACAAATATTGACGCGGATTTGTTTGCAAACAACCACTCTAGCAGTAGTAAAATGCCAATATACCCTGATTCTGTAGACTGCAGGCTGTTTTATTCAGTCGAGACAGATGTTACTGTTGAAGTATCTCTTATTGACAATCATTTTATCTCTTCATATCCAGTCTTTTATATCTGAATAATATTTTACAGAAAAACGTGCGTTACACCCGTTTGCACTCCTTTTATCTTCTTTTTTTTACTGCCCTTTTTGACAAACCACTATTTAATGTATTTTTTTAAATAAATAATATTTTCGACGTGGGCCCTCTAGATGAGTTTTGTGACTAAAGGCGAACTTCGCCTATAAAAATATGTTTCAAGCGGAAAAGATTAACGTCCAGAAGGAATATGGGAGTGGTGAAGACAAACGGCACCCAAGTCGACGCCGGGCATTAAGGTGCCATTTCCATAACTAGAATCTCACGGCGTCTTTCCTTCGCGGGAGGCTGCAAATGTGTCACTAGTCCAGTTTTTTCGGACCCTCTTATAAGAGATTCTCTTTGCGAAACAACTTGCCAAGAAAGTGAACTCACCTAAAACTTTCGATGCAAGCAAGCGTCCGTTTTTCGGGTAAGCCTTCAGTTTCTCCAGTCCGTCAGAAAACCCTTCAATCTCAATCATGGAGAAACGTGCATTGATATATTGAAGCTGAGAACTGAGATAAATAGGCGGAAATACTAACATAAGAACAATCAAGATATTTTTGCTTTGAAAATATGCCTTTGATATTCTACACAAAGACGCGCAAAGAAAGTAAAGAATGCGAGCTAATGTCACGGCCATGAGCAATAATCCGCAAAATTGGAGTCCAATTATGTAGCGAAAAACTTCGAGCTCTTTGTGAAAAGGAATCAAGTTGTATAACGGCCCAGAAAATGTTCTGCCAAGAAACAAAAAGATGGTGACAGAAAATAATAACACAAGCCAAATCAAAAGTGTTTGCCGTTTTGTGAGGTGACCAATGTCTTTAAGTTGCGTGGAACAAACACAAGCAAACCCCGCAAAAAATCCCAAGGTGATAAATGGAATTTTCCTTTCGTGGTCAAACAAATCGCCGGACAAAAGACTTCTGAGGACAAACTCAAAACTGTGGCCATGCTCATTTTCACTCTTCCACGGAAGCCCGCCCACGTAGTCAAAGTTATTAAGTAACGGAATTATCCACCAAGAGAGCAATGCGACGCTTAGAAAATGCACGTAAAAAGCTCGCCAGATTGAAGGCGAGAAGAGCTTTTTTCTCAGTGGGTTAGTGTTTGAAAGCACGCCTATTAGCAGAGTAACTCCAGTAACAATGCCGAGGTAGACACCAAAGAATGCATTCGCGGTGAAGTTGAAGACGATGAGAAGGATCGTACCGCTTCTTGAACCACTGTTGTAGAGTACATATTGATACAAAAATCCAACTGAAGAGAAACAAACAGTATGAAAATAATGTTAAGAATTAATGCTTTGCAGGGAAAAACAGTACCGAGACAACTGCGCCGAGCCATGGGAAAAAACCGGATGCATATGAGGATTTAAATGCATATATCAGATGCGGGAAGACACCCAATAAACAAACCAATGGCTACAAGTTAAGTACATTTATTTCCTTTGTTTACTACTCACAATACTCAACGATACCCAATTTAACCCTTTAAGCCCTAAGAGTGATCAGCATAAAACTTCTTCTTATAATATCAATGCTTTGTAAAACAGAGTGGTCATGAGAATTACGGACATGATCACACAAGATGAATTTACTTGATATTTTATCAATTTCCCCCCACTACTTCTGTAGGATATGAATAGGGGCAACAAATGAGAATTCACCTTTTGATCTTAGGGTTTAAAGAGTTAAGAACCTCCATATCGGTTCTCTCCTTATCTTTTCAAACATGGGCCTTTCAAACCTTTAGCCAAATAACTCACATTTGCCCAAAAGACTAGTTCTATGTCTCATATGTAAACACTTAGAGCGTTTTAAAGCTGCACCTACGAAGGTGGCCTGCAATATTTGTATTTTCTTTCTGTCTGTATACCATTTACATGGGCAAAACGGTTGGTTCACGTTTTGGGCAAATGTTAATCAAAATTCAAGACCTGAAATTTGATCCCGGAATTGTGTTTGCCATTTGCACTAATCAGTTACATTTACCGAAAAAACGGCCGCGAAAGGCTGAAACTGGTATCAAAGATGGGCTTTGAGGAAATGGAACACGGATTTCCGTTTGGAACATTCCAACCGGGAAAACAGGACTACCTTTTTAGAAGTTCCGTTACTCCCAGACGTTTTACACCGAAACGACCCGAAAAGTCATGTTCCGTTTACTTTCTAACCGGATTTTTCGAAAACTTTTCGTAAGTAGTAAAGAAACAAGGTCAAAACCTCTAACTCAGCCAAGCAATCAAGAGAGAACTACAGCAAGCCGTCACTTACACTCTTAAATCCTTACTTGGCTGTATGACACGTTTATTCTTTTTTCTTCGTCTTGTAATTGAATAGATCCTTACTGTTATTATCATTCGATTGGTCCTTTTCATTAGCCGAAAGTCCACGACGTGACCTAGCTGCAAATAACTACCTACAAATAATGGTCTGCTCATGCGCAATGTCGTCCAACTGTGTTTGGCTTCTGCATGAGTAAACGAAACCACGCTTTCGTCCTTCTTGCAATCACTCTTGCGTGAAAAATGGCAGATCGCTTCGCTTATTTCCCGAAAATATTCATTAAAAAACAAATTTGGTGATCGCAGATCAATTATTTGCCTTAGCTCGCCACTGGCAAATCACGATATTTTGCTCAGCCGCGTCCAATTATTGCTAATTATTGGCTTATTCGCGTCACTTCCCCAACCATTCAGAGTTAAAAGCTCAAACTAGTTCGTTTTCCTGCGCTTTCTTCGCGTACTTAACGCGGAGTACATGGACAGCATAATATACAGTTCTTATTCAAGAGCGAATTCTAGTCGTCTACAGGACACAACTTGAAAACATTTTAAAAAAGCTCTCCTTGATTTTGGAAAGAGGGGAGGTCTAAATTTACGCAAGGATCTAGCGTTCACAATCGGCAAGTAGGAAGAAGCCATACGAAGGCAAAAACGCCATGTTCCCACCCTTGAAGTGGGGGAAAGGGGGTTCTCAATTTGCGCACCAGTCTAATGTGCAACATCGGCGAGAAGGATGAAGGTCAGTGCGAAGGCCAAGACACGCCGTTTTGCATTTTCTTGATTTGGGGAAGGGAGGCCTACTGACAACTCTCTCTTAACAGACACCTAGAGCTGGTCCCTGCTGTCCTTTTCGTTAACTCTGTATAAGGCAGAGGCTTTGAATGAGATTCTGGAAACTGCTTCTACCTAGCCCTCCCCTAACCCAAACGTTTGCCCTAAGTAAGACGTTAGTGTTAACTTTAGGTTACGAAAAGGGTAGCTGGGTTAGACGGCCACAGAGAGTTGACTGTACTCTCAATACAATGAAAAAGATCAAGGAGATTAAAAGATTACCTGCGAGAGGAAGTATGGCCATTCCGTAAGCTTGAGTAAAGAGACCATACTCGTGAAATGCTTCCAACTCCAAACCAAACTTACGCCAGCTGTGAATTGAATGCACAAAGAGGGCTGCTAACGTCGCCTCGAGACGGGTCATCCTTAATTTACGCAGACCAATGAACCACGACCAGGGCATCAATGACAGAAGAAGAACAAACATCCAACGGAACATTAGCAAAGGCGAGATAAACCTTCAGAAAGAGGAGCAAGTATCTCAGTTATCGTATGCTTGACAGTCGTTCGGGCGAAAATGATGAAGGTGGTGACGCAAAAGTATAGCCAAATATCTCACACTTAGCACTTTTTCTCGATTATTTTACTCAATTCCGCCTTAAAAATTTGCTCTAGGTTTCACATTTTAAAGAGTTTTAACTCTTAAAATACGTTTTGTAGCCGCATCTAAGAGGAAGGCTTGCCCTGACGTTTTCAAGTCTCGAGTTAAAAAATATTTACTTTTCGCCAATAAAGGTTATCTGTTTGTGACCTCCGAAAATAAGTCGTTCACGCGACCACGAAGTTCCCTCTCCCATTTCAAGTTACTGAAACATGTATTAACTTGGCATCATTTATTTGATTTGTATACATGTTCCATAATGTAGTTTCCTTGGGCAGGATTTTACAGGGCTGAAAATAACAGTCGGTGTCCTTCATCGGATAATGCTTAACTAAAACTGGCCCATGCCTCACGAAATCATAACTATGGTCCTGAGAAAGTTAATATCAAAGACTACCATAGAGAAGAGAAGTGTGACGTCCCAAAAATTCAAATTTGTGAAATTATGAGACTGGATAGCATATTTAGAAAGAACTAGGTGAAAACACCCCCCTTGCTAAAAATCAGCCATCTTGTGCAAATTGGCGGGGACATATAAGTACCTTTATGCTATGACTCCAGTGTAGTCATTGGAGCATAACAATGCTTAAATCTCTCCGCCAATTTCCTGACTGACAGGCTGATTTTTGGCAAGTGAACATTTCTCATCTTGTTCTTTCTGGACATGCCAACCTATCCCATAATTTCACAAAATTAGCTTTTGTGACGTCATCACTTCTGTTCCCTACTTTGCGGAATAACCAAGCCTTTCATTCACAGTTTTCGTTAAAGACGCGCAATCTGTTGATTGAGTTCGACATATTTTTGTTTCGTCTGACCCAAATGGTGACTTAGCCGGACATCTGTCCTTTCAAGAAAGATAAATTATTTGGAGCTCTGGTATCTGTGGTATAGGTAAGTTTGTTGTCTTTCTTATAGGATAAGTTCCTCAAGCTAGAAAAAAAAAGTGTAGCTCGTCATCCAAAAGGAAAAAAAAATTGGACGAAAAACAGTGCCTTAAGTAGAAACCCCGGCTGAGTTCTACTTCTCTTAACAATTAAGACGACGAATTATGTCCCAAAACGGAGGTTAAGAATTTTCATAGTTTTGCAACGTGGCAAGTTGCCCGAACGTTGCCACCGAAATCGCCCGTTTTAGGCGCGAAAACCAAAACGGAAGCAGTTACGTATCAAAGAATTCCACCCGCAAGCCGCTGATGACCTCACACGCAAATAATCATACATTCCTTCGCGTGGATGTTAAACTGCAATTTAGAAGGAAAACAAGGCGGTTTCTCACGACAAGCCCGATCTTAAAGAGAGGTTTTTGATAAGTTTCTATAGATTTGCTTTAATCGATAAGTTTACAATAAAAGTGTTTTGTAGTACATTAAACGCTTTCATACGTATTTAAGTTCAAAACTTCTGATTTTCAGTTGAGATCCAGTTTGAAAATAAGCGATTGTTATGTTAAATACCGTAACAAGAATTTCAAATTTAAGCCACTTTTGACCTTAGAAGCACGTATTCACTTTGCATCGAAATTCAAGTACGTCAAGGAAGAAAAAATGGAGGTTTCTCACGACACAAGAAAGGGGCTTCCGTCTGGAGTCTCTATAGATTAAACTACTTCTACGATCATTAAATTCTTTCACAAGCATCAGTTCAAAGTTCTAGTTGAGATCAGTAAAACACTGAGCGTTTGTTCGCTACATCAGTACAACGTATCTCAATCCATATTAAATCCGGAAAAAGTAAACATGGTCAAACATGGAAGCCCATGTAGCTTGTGAAGACTGCAGTTCAGAAAACCATTAAGCGCTATTTCAAGTGATTTTAAGCCAAGGTTAACCTTTTTACAATAACAAAGTATTATTTCGTTTCAAAACAGTCAACTTGTCGCTTAGTTTGCAGACCACTCATTCCCACCAAAGAAACGTACAGATTACACGCAATATTATAAAAGTTCATATCTATTTCTGTGTGAGAAAATTCGTCTTTAAACTAGAACGCGAAAATTGTAATGGCAAGTTAATAACTAAAACTGCAGTAAAATTCACCACTTCGGCGACCTGTGCTCGGCGGTCATGTGCCAAGCTGTAGTGAATTAGTTAATGTTTATGATCGTTCTAAAGTGAAAGTAAGCTAGAAATTTGCACGAAATATTATTTACTCGCTGTTTTCTCCATAAATCTCCTCTTTCACCCTGGTTGTCGAAAAGATATGAAGCCTACCTTGAAATGTCGTGTGCAACTCCAAATCCCATTGCGATATCTACAATTCTTGGCAGCCATGTAAAATATTTCAGAACCTTCATGTAATATTGCATTCTGACTACTAGTGCATAATTTCAGGTCGCCAAGAGGCGACTTCATTTGTAAAAGATGAGTTTGGAGCACTGCAAGAGTCTACGTAGTTGAAGTTTACTCGAAAATAAAGGTTAACCGCGACAAGAAAGGAGGAAACCATAGGCTGTTAAACAGGTATGCGACCCTGAATATAAGACTCTTCTGATGCAAAGTCTATTTTAGCCTCAATAAATCAAGAATAGTACGGTCAAAGTCGAGCTCTTAAAAGAAAAGAAGGAAATCCTGAGTCAGGAGCGGGAATAAAACTGGTGACCTTTCTTATTCACCAGCTGGAATGCTGCGATTTCACAAAAATAGTCAAAAAATCTAAAAGATTAGAGGTTAAATTTCGGTTGGGGAATTGCAATTTTTACCCCCTTTTTTCCTGATTACGACATTCAGCAGTATTCCTTATCTACTAATTGCTGTACAACAACTATAATAATACAAAAAATCAAGAATTAAAGTTGGTTTTTAAATGTCAGACGGAGGTCTATCATCAAACACAACACTTTTCAAGTAACAAACGCACCACTTAATGCTTCAACGAAACGAATGTTCCGCTAAAAACTATGGACTAAGCATAAATTCAAAGTCCCTGAAAGCAAGACAAACTAAAGAACAGTGATATATATAGAAATTTGCAACTGAAAGTTTTAGCCACCACATATTTCAATTTTTGTCCTTTTACAATGGCCTAGTGTGTGTTTTTCCTGTCAGAAAATTGTCTCGATATCCTAACTTACGTAACGCTTTTCACAATTAAGCCATTGGGCTACTACAATATAACAAACAGAGTACCTACCTATCATGCAAGCAACAAATAGATGCTAATTTACTTTTAGTTCTGCTTCCAACTCATTCTTATTTACGTTCCCTTGACAGTTTAGTGGAAATTCAACTTATTTCAAATTTGCCAATGAACAAACATAGGCGACTGAAAACTCGCGAGTTCAACTTGAATAGAAACAAAGCAAAATACGAGCTCACGAAAAGCTACAGCATAAAACAAGCTCAGTCAATGACTGATATGTAAGAACACAAAAGCATTTTGGTTCGTGACAAATTCTCAAACTCAAAGACAAAGTCAAGATTCAGACAACACGAAAAGTCGCTCAACAGCGCCCAAAAAGTAACTGCGGCTTCCACAAGGCTTCAAAGCTATTCAACAAGTTCGTCACAAAAGTTTCATTAAGATGGACTCCAACCTTACAGACATCAAGTCGCCTCTAGTCCTGGTTCGTTCTAAAGGTGTAGACAAATTGCTCAGTGGTTTAAACATTTGTGGACTGGGAGCCCATGGTCCCGTGGCATATCAGCCGATATCTCTTCGCGACGAGACTGCAGCAATGTATGTATCTCTGGCAAAATTTTTACCCATTTCAATCTTCTCACATAGAACATTCCCGTTTCTGGAAAAAGCGAAAAGGAACAAGTCTTTAACTATCACTCAATCTCTCTGACAGGTCTTTTGGTAAAATCCCAAGTAAAGTTCGACAACGTCAATCAATTTCTGCGTTCATAGGACTCAACTCATTTCAGTCACACTGGCTTGGCGTCCTCGCTACTCCTACACATCGCAACGGCTAATCCATCTTTTGCACTTGTGAGATAAGGGCTCTAGTCGAAAGACAAACTGCTGATGCAGTACTTCTTCGATATACTTCGACCAAGCTTTCGATTCAGTTTACACAACCACGTCGATCTAAAGTTAAAAAGAGTGGCATAATCGGTTCTCCTCCCTCGCTGTTGACTAATTACCTCGGTATTAGTCATTTTCAACGTCTTGTAATAGAGGGATGTCTATCTAATTGAAGGGCAACAGTCTTGTCTGGAGTTCCACAAGGACGCATACTAGGCACGCTTTTTGTTATCTTGTATAGATATTAACCGTCTATCAAGTCCTACCGAAACCTGTGCTTACTATACTCAAGTAGTCTATCGTGTTCCTCCCTTCACAATACCTGCATGATACTGTTCAAGAAAGCCTCCGACGAATCGCAGATTATTGTTGCATATGGCTGTTAAGAACTAACACCGGACAACAAATACTAGTGTATGGTATATGAGAGTAGCCTGTTCACAGACCCTCTATTTTCTCTTCAAAGTCCGTCGAGCGCGGGTGATAAAATATAAACCGCAAGGGATTTATTGACCGCCGGCGCAAGGAAGCAAACATCTTAGAGTTCTTCGACTCTTAGATGATCTTTTGTGGAGATCCCATGTTTTATCAATCGTCGCCAGCTGAAATAGGTCAGTTAATGGGCATAACTAAGCACACGTTTGCATGGGAAGTGTTCTATGAAAGCCTTTTGTACACGATCACAAATTTCTGGTGCGTCCATAATGAAATACTAGAGCACGCTTGTCCTGTTTGAAACCCGCAACAAGCATGTTTCCCACAAATTAGGTCATGTCCAACGTAATACATCTAGACGGATCGAGGGGAATGAAACTTCATTTGAGAATCGGCTAAAAACTCTTAATTTTCCAACTTCATATCTAAGTAAAGATTCCCTCGGTTTTGCTCAACTATTTAAATTTATCAAAAGTGACTTTGCTGCAAACCTTGAAGATTACATGTCCTTTAACAAAAGGGAAATAGGACAGAGCCATCGTTAAAAGCGTTGAAAGTTCGACTGTCGAACCGACGTTAATTCTCAAAAACACTTTTTGGTTTAGGTATTGGAAAAATCTACATACCTTAGTGGTCGAATGTAACGCAGTTTATAGTATAAAAAAGGGTTAAAGAATTCTTATATGACGGTAATTAATTACTACAAATTTCAGATCTAGTATATATGTTTCTCTGTAAGCAATTTGTAGGTTTATGTTACTCGTCTATTTCACAGAAAAACAGTCACGGTATCATCACTTCATTGTACTTTATGTTGAAAGCTCCCAAAATTTCACTTGAGATCCAGGTTGAAAATAGGGTGACTGTTTTATTAGGAATTTTAATTTTGAACCGCCGATGACCTTACACGAACGTTTTTCATTGCTTCGCGTGGGCATTATGCTCTCCATACTCGAGTCAAAAAAATCAAGTAAAAAAGGGCTTCAATTTGAGTTTCTTTTGATTTGCTTTGACAGTTTTACAATGAAAGTGCTGCTTGCGTCTGGCATTAAATTCTTTCACACTAGCATTGGTTTATAGTTCTAGTAACGATCCAGATTAAGAACGAACCTTTGTTCCGTCACCTGAAGTAGCACGTATGTCCGTAAATACCATATTAAATCCGGCATAACTAAAGATGGTCAAAGATGGAGGCACATGCAGTTTGTGAAGACCTCAGTTCAGAAAACCATCAAGCGCTATGTCAATTGATTTTTACCTAAGTTTTTTTTTTTTTTTCAAGGCATTAAATCGTTTTAAAACAATCAGCTTTTCGTTTAGCTTGACCTCTCAGTGCCAAAGAGACGTACAGATTAAACGCAATATCAACGTTTACAGTTATTGCCGATACAGAACATTCAACGTCAAACTAGAACACGAAAGTCTATGTCCTTCCTTGTATTTAATTTCTAAATTGTAACTATGTGGTAGTTAAAAATTAAAACCCCACTACGTAGTTCAAGTTTACTAGAAAATGATGGATAATAACAAGAACGGTGGAAATCATTAGTAACTGTTAAACAGTTTTAACGGTGTGCACACGTTTGGACTTCAAGGATGCGACCATGGTTTGACTAGTATCAGCAGCACACAGCTTACATTTACAGTGGAGTGTTACGGGAATTATCAAGCTTCTGTTATAGATTAGCACGAGCAATTAGGGACCACTTGAAATTGACTTCCATTGGACTATACTGGGTGAGTTGCCCAAAGTTTGCACCCCTTGTTTAGTAGATAAAATATTTATTATAGCATAAAAACTTTATTCTGGGCTTACTCTGCACGAGTCCACTAGCGATGTAACCCACTGAGGTAACATTTTACCCAATTTGCACAAGTTGATTTTCCTACATTTACTTTTGTTTCAACCTGCTTTGAATACAGGCAAACCTCACATAAAAGCGCAGCTGACGTTAGTATTTTACAAAGTCAAAAATCATGACAAACAAGTTGGACCACCTGAAAACAGAAACCGACCAAAATTAAAATGGCCTGGCTAAAGTCTGAGAACGAAGACAAGCAACAATAAGTGCCACTGTTTTCTGAAATGTCTTGTATGTAACTAATCATGGCCCTTGCCAGTGTAAGCGGCCTTTTAATTAACGGGGTTCTTGCCAGTGTAAGAGGTCTTTTAATTTAAGGGGTTCCAAAAATTCAAACAAATAAAGCTTTTGCTCAACAAATTAGATATACAGATATTGCGATCATCAGAATAGTTTAATTTCTTCGACCCATATACCCCAATACGTGATTATTTCAAGCTATCGTGGAATTCTTTCAAAACTAGTATTTTTGAGTAGTTTTCTTTAATCTTCAAACACAATTTTAAGCTGATATGAACCCCTCCAGTCATTAAACAAAATAAACTGTTAACTTTGGAAACAATAACAGCTTTGCGTCCCCAGTGCAAAGTTGTTTGTCACGGAACTAATTTTCACTTCCTCATAAGCTAAACACACGGCCTTTCTATCCAAGGTGCGATACATTTTACCACGCTCATGAATTCTTCACGCGCAGATTATCCTTACTAGGCTTTTTAACTGACTGCAAATCTTCCCACGTGCATGGCATTGCCACTGCACAGATCAAGTGATAATTGTTTCAAAGGAATTAAGCCTAACAGGAAGATTTCCAAAGTAAAATTTGAAGAAAAACATCCCTGTGTTTTTCAAAACATAAAGTAAATTTGACTGTCAGGATTTTTAACAAGTGACCTTGAACCACTCTCACCATTTCAGAGGACAAAAGAAGGTTCCACTGTTGGTTTGCGGTTTAATAATTGACGTTATACAGTCTCTTTATACAAACATTCTGCGCCTTTTTATTCAGACGTCAGGAGAAAGTCTAAGTGAGTGTTACCGGTCAAGGGAACAACTTAATTTAAGTTAAAGTTACGTAAGTTACATTAGTTACGTAACACTGAATAAGAATTTTTGTAAATTTATAAAATGGACGAAATCTTCTGCGCACAAAAACTTGAAGGAAAGACTTTGATTTTTGGACAATAAAATTGTTTTGTCATCCCTTGCAACTTGCAAGATCAGTAAATGAATATCACTGATTTTAATCTATCGTCTTTTCCTTTTTCAAGGATTTTTTTTTCGCTGTTGTTAACCCACTCGCCCCCTGAAACTCTCCACATGACGGATTGAATTAAAACAGAATTTTACTTACGATTCTGCTAAGATCATGAGACTGGCATTAAGCAGACACGGAAGAGGGTGATAGGCAAGAAAGAAAGGGTAGCCCAATGTTAATTCATCGAACCAAAGATCGGTAGTTCCACTTTGAAGAAGTTCTTTCAAGTAAAGTGCTTCGACTTGATGCGAGTACATATCACCTCCGTGCGCATACCCAGTGTTGCTTGTCAAGAACGGGTTAGAGTTGGAGACCAGTGAGAAGAAAAACGATAAACTCGAGGAAAACAGAACAATGAAGCTCAACCAATGGGGAATGTCAAACTCTGTCTGAGAATCTTCTTGGCCGTCTGTGCTCATGTGTAATGGCTCTTGATCGCCCATCTTCAGTTTTGAGTTTTGCGGTCTACAAAACTTAGTTATGCAGTAGTGACGAGACCTGCCGCTTATATCCTCCTTAAATTGGGATGTACGAAAAAGGGCCAATCGCTTATCACGAAGTTTTAAGCATGTCATTCCTTTTTCCACCCACGCAGGAAACGCACAAGATGCCATTGTCGACCAGGGTGCTCAAGTTGGACACCTACCAAGCTCGCATGCCAGGCCGCGATTTTGAAAAAGTTGAGTTTGGAGCACTGCAAGAGTCGTAGTTGGAGTCTATTAGAAAATAATGGTTAACGACAAGAAAGGAGGAAACCATAAGCTGTTAAACAGTTTTAAAATGGTGTGCACGCCGTTTGCCCTTCAGGGATGCGACCCTGGATCTAAGACTGTTTTTACCCTCGTCCTGATGCAAGTCTGTTTTAGCCTCGATAATCAAGAGGAGTATACGGTCAATGTCAAGAACCTAAAGGAAAAGAAGGAAATCCCGTGGTCGGAAGCGGGAATCAAACTAATGACCTTCCTTATTTACGAGCCACAATGTTATGATTTCACTATGTTTACAAGATTTAAGTTCAATTTCGGTTGGGGAATTGCAACTTTTACCCCCTTTTTTCTTGATTACGACATTCAGCAGTATTCGTTATCTACTAATTGCTGCACAACAACTATAATAATACAAAAAATCAAGAATTAAAGTTGGTTTTTAAATTTCGGACGGAGGGCTGTCATCAAACACAACGCTTTTCAAGTAATAAACGCACCACTTAATGCCTCAACGAAACGAAACAGGGGCACCTAACGACTGTTTTCTGTAAAATATCTGTTCGGAGAAGCAAATATAGCCTCGAATTTTCTATTACTTGAGGACAGCTAAAAACTTTCGAAGCTTATCTAATAAATTCCCTATGATTTTCTGAAGTTTAATTTTTTACCTTTCACTCCCCAGGTTAGGCTTTTTTTTTCTAGAAAAAAGGAAACCTGAAATTTTCGGATTTAAAAATGTGATGGAGACAGGTATCAGAAAAATTCTTACTTTCGTAAAACGTTAAATTGCATCTAAAATTTTCGGGAAAATAATACTGAAGCCCTTGTAATTTTCGAAAAGACTCAAGTTCCCCTAGGATGACCGAACAGATACAAATTTTAAAGCCCCGCTTAGAATGCATTTCTAGAGATCTAAAAGTACTCTGGATAGCCTAAAACGTGTTTTCAATGTATTTAGGAGGAAACCGTCGTTGGGTGACCCTGACGAAAGTTCCGTTAAAAAACTAAGACTAAGCGTAAATTCAAAGTGCCTGAAAACAAGACAAACTAAAGAACAGCGATATATATAGTAATTTTCAACAGAAAGTTTTAGCTACCACATATTTCAATTTTTGTCCTTTTACAATAGCTGAGTGTGTTTTTTCTCTCAGTAAATTGTCTCGATATCCTAACTTACGTAACGCTTTTCACAATTAAGCCATTGGGCTACTACAATATAACAAACAGAGTACCTACCTATCATGCAAGCAACAAGTAGATGCTAATTTACTTTTAGTTTTGCTTCCAACTCATTCTTATTTACTTTCCCTTGAAAGTTTAGTGGAAATTCGACTTATTTCACATTTGCCAATCAACAAGCATAGGCGACTGTAAACTCACGAGTTCAACTTGAACAGAAACAAAGCTAAATACGAGCCCACGAAAAGTTACTTGATAAAACGCGCTCAGTCAATGACGCATATGTAAGAACACAAAAACACTTTCGGAGGTTGATGACAAATTTTCCAATTCAAAGACAGAGTCAAGATTCACAAAACACGAAAGGTCGCTTAACAGCGCCCAAAAAGTAACTTTGGATTCGACAAGGCTTCAGAGCTATGCAAAAAGTTCCTACCAACAATTTCATGAAGTAATGGCCTCCAAACTTACACGCGTCAAGTCACTTGTAGTCCTGGTTTGTTCTAAAGGTGTAGAGAAATTGCTCGGTGTTTTAAACATTTGTTGAATGAGAGCCCATGGTGCCAATGGCATATCAGCTCATAGATCTCTGCGCGACGAGACTGTAGTAATGATTATAATTATACATCTCTGGCAAAATTATTATTCACTTCAACCTGTTCACATAAGTCATTCCCGTTTTCGAAAAAGGCGAAAAGGAACAAGTCTTTAAGTATCGTGCGGGCTTATCTCTCTATCAATTCTTTTGCTAAAATCCCACGTGAAATTGGTCATCAATCAACTCCTGCGTTTTTAGAACTCAAGTGATCTTTTTTTAAAACAGTCACAATGGCTTGGCGTCCTCGCTACTCCTGCACATTGCAACTAACCCATTTTTTCCACGAGTGAGATAAAGGCTTTAGAGTTCGAAAACGCTTTCGATTCAGTTCACACAACTACGTCATTCTGTAGTAAGAACGAGTTGGTATAACCGGTTCTCCTCCCTCGCTGTTGACTTATTACCTCGGTACTCGTCATTTTTAACGTCTTGTAATCGAAGGATTTCTATCCGTCTGCAGGGCAACAGTCTTGTCTGGACTTCCACAACGAAGCATACTTGGCACGCTTTTAGTTATGCTGTATAGATATTAACCGCTTATCAAGACGTCCTACTAAAATCTGTGCTTACTATACTCAAGTAGTCTATCGTGCTCCTTCCTCCACAATACCCGATACTGTTCAAAAAAGCCTCCAACGAATGGCAGATTAGTGTTGCACATGGTTTTTAAAAAATATAGGCGGCCGAGAAATACTAGTGTATGCTATATGAGAGTGCCTACACCACACAAACATCTTGAAGTTCTCTCATATGATCTTTTACGGAGATCCCATGTTTGATCAATCGTCACCAGGTGAAACAGGTCAATTAATAGGCATAAATACACGCACGCTTGCATAGGAAGTGTTTTATGAAAGCTTTTGTACCGAGTACAAGTTTCTGGTGTGTCCAGTCCATAACAAATGACTAGAGTACGCTTCTCCTGTTTGGAACCCGCAACAAGCATCTTTCCCACAAACTCGATCATGTCCAACGTAATAAATCAAGACTGATCGAGGGGAATGACACTCAATTTGAGAATCAGCTCAAAACTCTCAATTTTCCAAATTTATATCTCTGTAAAGATTTCCTCGGTTTGTAAAACTATCGAAATTTATCAAAAGTGACTTTGCTACAAACTTTGAAGATTACATGTCCTTTAAGACTGAAAATGGAAATAAAACACAGTGCCATCGATATAAGCGTTGAAAGTTCGACTTTCGAACGGAAGTTAATTCTAAAAAAACACTTTTCGGTTTAGATATCACTAATTGGAAAAATGACATGCCGTAATAGTCGAAAGTAACGATAATTAATTACTACAAATTTCAGATCTAGCATACATGTTTTTCCGTAAGCAATCTGTAGGTATAGGTTGCATGTGTATTTTACAGAAAAACAGTTAGGGCATCATCATTTCATTGTACTCATTATCTAGTTTCTATTTTCTTTACACACATATTTATGTTGAGATTCAGTTGAGATCCAGGTTGAAAATAAGCGAGTGTTATATTAGGAATTTTAAGTTTGAACCGGCGCCGTTGACCTTACACGCACGTATTCACATTTTGCCTAGAGTGGACATTATGCTGCAATATCCAAGTAAAAAAATCAAGTAAAAAGTCAAGCGGGTTTCTCAGGACACGAGAAAAAGGCTTCGATTTAAGTTTCTTTAGATGTCCTGTGATAGTTTTACAGTGAAAGTGCTACTTGGATCCAGCATTAAATCCTTTCACACGCATTACTTTGTGGCTCTATTTAAGATCTAGAAAACAATCACCTTGTCGTTTAGCTGGACCACTCAGTCCCAAAGAGACGTATAGATTAGACGCAAAATTAACCTTTACATTTATTTCCGACAAGGAAAATTCATCGTCAAACTAGAACACGAAATTCTATGTCCTTTCCTGTATATTCTAAATTGTAAGTATGCGGAACTTAAGAGCCCCTCTAACCACCACAAAATACTAAGTAAGACTCTAGAACATTCCTCAATCATGAATTCCATAATCTCAAATTGGTCTGCACCTATCTGGCCGAATTTATTGGACGCCAGGGTAGATCCACGCGATTTTCATCACTCGATAAACACAGCCAAGGGTCTTCGTTGTTAAAGTTTATCATAAAATAATGGGTAACGACAAAAATGTGGAAATCATTAGCTGCGTGCACACAATGCAAATTGCACATGTTTGGACTTCATGAATGCGACCATGGTTTGAAGACTCTTTGTACGACATTTCTGAAGCGCGCCTATTCTAACTTCAATAAATCAATAACAGAGTTGCCAATATCAACAACTTAAAAGAAAAGAAGGAAATTCCGAGCTGCGACCGGGAATCAAATAAGTGACCTTTCTCATTCCCCAGACGAAATCCTCATACCACTAAAGGTCTGAGGTTCAATTCCGGTTTGGGAACTGGAATTTTCCCCCCTTTTTTCCGATTTCCCTTATCTAGTTATTTCTGGATAACAACTATAATGATACAAAAAATCCAGAAACAAGGTTTTTCTCAAATATCAGAAGAAGGTCTATCATCAAAGCACAACCGCTAGTAATAAACGCACTAGTAAAACATGAACGAATCGAATGACTTATGTTCCTCTAAAAGTAAGGACTAAGCATAAATCCAAAGTCCGGTGTAAGGCAAACTGAAAAAACAGCTTCATATACAGAAATTCGCAACTGAAAGTTTTAGCCACCACATCTGTTAATTTTTGTCCCTTTACAGTATTTCAGTGTGGTTTTCCTCAATGTATAGTGTATAGTTATCTTAATCAATGTAACGTTCTTCACAATTAAACCATTGAGCTACTACAATATAACTCAGTAGAGCACCTACTATATCCATGGTTCGCTCAACTTCAGACAAACCATTTTCAAGGACTTTTTCAAGGATTTTCCAAGGACAAATTACAGTTTTCAAGGACTAAGATTTATTTAATAAATCGCCATTCTTTAACCACCTTTGATAACCCT